CTGAAAGTGGTCGTCACCGTTTATCATAAACTCCTCCTCATTTCTTTTTCACCGTCTTCTACCACCACCACTCGTGCTCTCAGATCTTCACAACCTTACTCTCTCATTCCCTCCCCTAGTTTTTTCCCGCTCATCTAAAAAGCCATGAAAAGAGGCAAAAATTCCAAAAAGCAACCGCCTCCGTCGTATACCCCACCAGCAGGGAAGCATAGAGCCACCGGTAATCCGACACCATCTCCGGTAATGAAAACTCTAGAGGATAAATTTGTTGACGATGATGTGTTCATGAACCTCTTAAAGGTTCACCAATGGAAGTAGCAAAACTATCAAAACGTAAGAAGTTGTTAGATTAATTTTAAATTAAGTTTCTATTAATAAAAAATGTTTAGAACCCTTTAATCAGGTTTACCGTTGAGGATGCTCTTTACAACGTTGGAAAAAAGAAAATCATATAATGTATAAGTCCACATTAAAAGCCCAATCTGACTCAAAAAGCCCACGAAGCCCATCCTTGCCCTAAATTTCAATTAGGGTTTCACTGTCTTCAAAATGTTATCCTCTACTCTTCTTCTTCCATCTTTTTCTCAGCCGGAAAATTTTCCTGATTCTCTTTTAGGGATTTGAAACAGGGAGAGAGAAAGCAACCATGCCGGCGAAACAGAGGACGCCTAAGGTTAGCCGAAACCCTGATCTGATCAGGGGAGTTGGTAAATACTCCAGATCTCAGATGTACCATAAGAGGGGTTTATGGGCTATCAAGGCCAAAAATGGCGGCGTTTTCCCTCGTCACGATGCTAAATCGAAGGTTGATTCTCCGGCGGAGAAGCCACCGAAGTTTTATCCAGCTGAAGATGTTAAGAAGCCTCTCGCCAACAGGCGCAAGCCCAAACCTACCAAGCTCAAGTATTTACCTTATACTTTGTCTCGTGGTTTTTAGACTGATACTTAGCTCGATGCAATTGTATTCTCTGTGTTTGGATTGTTTGACTCTTAGAGTAGTGCTTTGCTTAAGAGGGTGTGTATCTGATTGTTGGAATCCACTGGGAAAATGTCGAAAATCATTTGGTCTCTACGGTTTTTGGAAGGTTTTGTAGAAATGCAAGAGTTTGTGAAGCTTAAAGTGTTCTAATTCCTGGGTTTTGTCAGTGGGGTTTACGTCGAATGCAGAAATGTTCTAAATTTCTGTGAGAATATTGTTTAGTTGGCTTATTGTTATTATTATTTGTTGAGTTTGTGTGATTAGACTTGTTCCATTTTGATGGCAAAAACAACCTAATGTGATTTCATTCGTATATCGAAAGAGAATTAGATGTCTATGAGTATCAGTATGCTGCAATCTCTTCAGATTTCCTGAATTGTTTTTGTGACCTAATCCGATCATCATATATCTGTAATGCAGATCCAGCATCACCCCTGGGTCAGTGCTGATTATCCTTGCTGGTAGGTTCAAGGGAAAGAGAGTTGTCTTTTTGAAGCAACTTGCCTCTGGTTTGCTTCTTGTTACCGGTGAGTTATTCTTTTATATCATTATCTATGCCAAATAGCGATATTTCGCAAGAAGTTAAGCTCATTTTCTACCTTTTCTTTGATTGTTCTGTTTTCATAACCTGGTATGTTTCTTTTCTTGTTAATTGACATACAGGACCATTCAAAATCAATGGTGTTCCTTTGAGGCGTGTTAACCAGTCCTACGTGATTGGCACTTCCACAAAGGTTGACATCTCTGGAGTCAGCCTCGATAAATTCGATGATAAGTACTTTGGCAAGGTTGCCG